TCCTTTCTGTATATCCGCCTTTCCAATAAAAACATAATAAATCTAAAAAAAAAAAAAAAAGACTCAACTATGTGAGCCATCTCCTATTGCCTGTCAAGGTGTGCATCCACAGGAAGCCAGACACATGAACCCACGCCACTTCAACATAAGATGCAAGTATTCCAACCAGCAGCTCACCCACTGCATCAAACACCCACCCTGGACATCGGCCTTACAAAGGCACCTCAGGAAGGTTTTCGGTTTTTGAAAAATGAAATTACAAGATAAGTTTATTTTGGTCCAAAAAATTTTAAACCCAGGTGTAGTCATTCCACAATATGCATTGTCCAGGAAAATTATGAAGAACCTTTGTATTTAAAAAAAATAAAAGATTTATTTCTATGGAAAGTCAGAGTTGCAGAGAAAAGGGGAAAAAGGAAAGAGCTGAAAATCAGGGATTTGTTCCTTTGTGTTCACCACTTAGTCATTCTCCACACGCTTGAAATAGCAAGAAGCCAGGAATTTCATCTGGGTTACCAGGAGGGTTGCAGGATTACAGGAACATGAACCTTCACCCACTGCCTCCCAAGTACGTTGGCAGAAAGCTGAATGAGAAATGCAGTGTAGCCTGAACTTCAAATGGAACTCCGATACGGTTGGCAAGCATCCCAAACTCTTGGCTTAATCCACTGCACCACAACGCATTTTCAACCATATGTCTTGTTCTTATCTTTCCAGATAGCACAGTCTTTACAAACAGAACTTAGACATGCAGGATACACAAAAGAGTCATGTACATATTGTGAAAATACGACATTGTACGGATTTCAAGAATGTTTATCTCAAACTTATCTTTTAATTCCATTTTCCATGAGATGTCTGAAATAGCCTGGAACCTGTAGAAATGCCAACATAAAGTACAGCGTAGTTAAAGAGTAAAGAGGAGATACCACAGAGAGCAGGAAAACTGCAAAGAAGTGTCAACGACAATTCCAAAATTACGACAGCATTACAACTACCTGAAATCCAGACATTAGACAATACAAAGAATTCAAATATGAGGTTGAAACTGAGGGAGAAAGTTTCCGAGACACCTCTCTTCAGTATATGAATTCATATAAGGATTCTGTAATGCAGTTCCAATGCTGTTGATTTGATTTCCAGATCTACAAATAAAAGAATCCATGAAGAAAGTACTGACAATGGTAAAAACGTAACCTGTCACTCTTTCCCTTCCTCTTTCTCTCTTTCTCTCTGAAACTCTTTCAAATAAATAAACAAACTTACATATCACTGTGAATCAATCCACCAAGAACCCGGTGAATCACAACAAATATAACTTAACAAAAAAAAAAAACTGAAAAGTTTTAGGTCTGAATAGAAAACAGAAATTAGATCCCTCCTTCGTCTTCCCTTCCCAAAGCCCTTAATCAAATGCTACACACACACACACACACACACACACACACACACACACATCACACACACATCACACACGCCCTTTTTCCTTCTTAACTTGGCAATCTCTGAACCATCACCAGCTCACACCCAAACTTTAAAAGAGCAATGAGAATCTGAAAAGCACAGAGACAAGGCATGCAGCATGAATTCAATGAGTGTGTTCTCTCTCTTTCTCTCTCTCTCAATATCTCAGGGAACTTCAGAGAGTTCACTGAAAGAAAGGTTAAAAGATTAGTCTAGGGACTGCTGGTGCAAAGGCTCTGTTGGCTGATCCTTGGCCTACAGACACCAGTTTCCCATATGGGAACCAGTTTTTTTTATCCCAACTGTTTTACTTCCATTCCAGCTCCCTGCTCAAGCTTGGAAAAGCAATGGAGGATGGCCCAGTCATTGGGACCCTGCACCCATGTGGGCAACCCAGAAGAAGCTCCTTGCTCCTGGATTCAGATCAGTTGAGTTCCAGCTTTGGCAGACATTTGTGGGTGAGCTAATGCATACATCCTCTTTTCTCTATAAATTCGCCTTTCCAATAAAAACAAATCTTCATACCTCAAAAAGATTCGTCTATTTGGGTACGAAGAAGGCCAATATTCATGTATTTGTAGGGTCTTCAAAAGATCATGGAAAAATGCATTATGAAAATAAAAAGTTCAAAATATTTTCCACCAAAATAAATTCATCCTTTAATTCCACTTTCCACAAACTTTGTGAAGTACTCTCATATGTGAACCAAGGAATCAAAGGATAGAGCTTTATCCGGTTCATTCAGCAAACACCAACTGAGAACTCCCTTCCACCAGCAGAACAACTGTGGCTGCAGAAGCCAGCTGGTCAACATCCCGTGTCTGCTCCCTCCTCTCACATCCTCTCCCTATTGCCAGGATGTTTTTCTCGACCTAGTAATGCCCTTCCTTTCTGTATCCTTTTGCAAAATGACGTTGCCTTGCTGCTCTAATTTCACCTGCTGGCAGACCTCACTGAAGTTTACCAGGAAGTGCTAACAGACCATTCTAAACTTCTAGACCTTTCACACCTGCCAGATCCAGGTTAACAGGTGACAGGATTTCATGGGCCATGCCCCTCTCCAGCCCTGAACTTAAGAATATGGAGCTTGCATCCCAAAGGTCACTTTCATCCGATCACAATATAAAATTACTTTCTCTCTAATGTCACAATTCCTAGGAACTAGCGTGTTTAATTCCAAGTTGCTTAGCATTTGACCTGAGGTATCTTTGAGATGAAACTTTTATCAACACTACCACATTTTCCTCTGCAGGAACAAATCCGTCTTGTATCTACTGTTCGTCTTCTTACACGGAACTTTAATACCCAAAGGATAGGTTTGGAGAATGCCACCAGGGAATGAACGACCAGGTAGGTAACAAAGGTACAAAGTGGGATGGTGACCCTTAGAAAATTCTTCCCTTAGAACACAATATTTTATGCTAAAATAATCCTCAATATTCTATGTTAGAAAGTGAACAGTTAAAAAAATTTTTTTAAGTTTAAAAAATCAAGATTGCAGAGAAGGTTCAAATTTCTGGAATCTACTGGATTATGTCCACAACACCAGTTTGTGGCGTTTGCCGCAAATAATTGTCTTGCCTTTAAATGTTCACTGCTATATTTTTTAAGAGATGTCATTCATACTATGACCTTCTTGAGGATATAAACTCCCTCTCTTGAGGAGATCATCCCTCTCTTTTTTCCTTAGAAACACAGGACAGCGCCTAACACCGTATCAAATGCATAGCAGACACTCAATGATGTTTGTAGAACTAATTTTGCTGAAATAATGGCAATGACCTTATGGTTAGCAAAAAGATTTTTAACACATTTGGATAGAAGTAAGGAAAAGTAAACAGCTCCATGAGGAAGTAAGGTAGAAGCAATCTAATCTACCAAAACAGCTCATAGCTGCCATGGTAACAATCAGATGAGGTAACTCACTTTAGTTCTTTTCTACTTGAACAAGTGCAGGAAGGCAAATATTTTATTTGCTAATTTCAGATCAGAAGGAGGTGGGGCTTAGGACACAGGTCTACCAGGTGACCTAGCATTACATTCAGTAACCTGTGAAGTTTTGGGGGACGGCACCAGGATATTGATAATGACACCACTAATATTAATTTGTACAATAATCCTAAGAAGGTTATTCAAGCCATTTAAGGGTAAGAGCCAATATCTGCTGCTGAGACCTGCTAAGTAGATTCATATACACACGTGTATACTATCTACTCTGATGCCAACTCACCCTGCCTCATTCCTAAAAATGTTGCCTTGAAGAAAGGCAAGCCAAGGTACATACTGACTCCAAGAAATATGCAGCTTACAGCAATGCTTAACTTTTCTACTTCCTTGCAATTTAATTCATTTGTAACCAAATACGAAAGATGAGCATCACACCCACTTTCTCCACACAACCCCTCTGGTGCCACAGTGAGTCACTCTCCAGGCAAACAGCAGAGAGAAGCTGGGAAGACAAGAAGCGAGGACCACAACAGGTGTCAGCTCTGAAGGAAGGGGCACATTGACAGTTCCTGGGACTGTTTCCAGTTCTGATTCTCAGATGTCTGATAAGCAAACTGCGTGCCCATATGGGAGAGATTACTCAATTTGTAGAATCTCAACTAAAATCCCAACAGAAGACAAACATGATAGCACTGAAATGGGTTGAATTGCCTGAGGGATGGATGCAACCGGCAACTGGAGACAGATCATAATAGCAAAGCTTGAACCATGGACGGACGAAAGAGGCAAATGGATCTCCTTGGGGATCTCCAATAAGATGGCAAAGTCACGCCTGTAGGCATCGCCTTTTATTCAGAGTGCCTTCTTTGTGACATTTCTAGCGTCCCAGACTATGTTGCACGATTTTTATCATTGTATCCAGTAGTAGGAAAAGCGAGGTGGGATCAGTTCAACAGACCAGATCTCTGCTTTCCAATTAATTGAGCGAACCCTTTACGGTCTCTCGGTCTACGGTTTTGGATCTAAGATGTTCCCTCAAGCCAAAGACAAGCAAGCCCAAAGATATGCTGCAAAACCCCAAGGAGCGAACCCTGTAAAACGTCAGCCACATGGTAGGCACCAGTGTGTATTCCGTGCACAGTAACTTAAAAAATAAGTGCCCAACACCTTTTATAAAGGTAAAATTCCAGGATGTAAGATTGGTAAACTGCCAAAGACTGCAAGCCCGGGGGTTCAACCTGGAGACCTTGGATGAAGTAACCCAGCTGGAGAGGCGCGGGAGCTGGACGCGTGCGAGTTTGTGCTAGAGGCGGAAATGTCAGCCCAGCCGGTGCAAGAATCCACGTTGGCCAGTGAAACTTTCTCCACCAGACGCTGACTCTGTGAACAGGTGAACTCCCCTTAACTGAGAGGGAATTGCATTTGGGAAAAGTCAAAGCCAGGTGGTAAACCCACAAAAGCAACTAGGAAAGATTCGGGAGGACTCCCTGGGGCTACACATCCGGCACGTTACGCGGAATCAGGGACACACCACCAGGGAAGGCAGCATGTACCTTCGTCATCTCGCTTCTCCAATTCACACAACGTACCTGGGGATGAATTTGGCTTCCTCTCCGAGTCGCACCTGGAAGTCCTGCCAAGCCCGGCCGGGCCTTGCCGGATCCCACCGGGCACCCAGCGCCACTGCCGCGTCCTCGTCGCTCCCCTCTTCTGCGCTGTCTTCGGGCTCCAGCCCCGCGTCGGCCGCAGCGGGAGAAGACTCCCTGGGCCCCCAATTCCTTCGGCGACCCCCGCGACGGGACCCTCGAAAGCCTCGCGCAAATTCCTGGAAGGTGATGGCGCCGTCGCGGTCCGCATCCAGCCGCTGGAACACGGCCTCGGCGTCCGCCGGCCGCACGCGCAGCTCCGCGCACAGCGCGCTGAACTCCTCGCGCTCCAGACGTCCCGAGCGATTCGAGTCACAGGCAGAGAACACGGAGCGCAGCCGGGCCAGCTCCTCCGGGTCCCCGTCCGCTTCCATCCAGCCTGGCGCGGGCAATCCGAAAAGCCCTGGAAGCGATGGGGAGCGCTGCGCTTCAGGACAGGGTTCAGGGCCACCTGCTAGAGGCCGGGCTGCGCGGCTAGTCCGGCTTGTCGGGCTGGTTTGGCCACTTGCGGTAATATCCACGCCAGGGGAGGCTCCTAGTTGGGTTCGTGGCGGCCGGGGGAGCGTAAGCGGACGCAGGACTCCATGGGACCCCCGGGAAGCCCTGGGAGCGGTGGGTGCGCCCTAGACCCCCGGCACCGTGCAGTAGCTGCGGCTCTAGCGACTGATGGCTCGCAGCGCCGTGGTCGTCACCGCACGCTGGCCAGTCCGGCCCCGCCCCGACGAGGAGGAGGAAAAGGAGAGCCTGGCTCCAGTTCCCACGCCTCCCTGAGCCGGTCAGGAGTTTCTGTATAGGAATATGGACACACCAGGCTGCGGGGTGTAGCTGCAGCCTCGCCCTTTCCGGTAAGCCCAGCGCCCAGCTGACCCGGGGTTTGGGGCTTTCCTGAGCCTGGGACCCTAACTGAACCGAACCGGGAAAAGTAGGTGGTGGAAGAACACCCTTTGTGTATTTCCTTCTTTTTAGTTCAAATGTCTCCAATAGGACGAACAAGTTCTTAAATTCTGCATACAGCGTCTACCAAAAGACCCCATTTTCTAATTTTACTAACTTTTGTTAACTCAAATTTGACGAGCGTTAAGATCCAGTTAGTTCATGTCTATTAGAAATCATATAGACCTTCCAGATCTGCTAATCCAATTTTTTTCTCAGTCCTTGTTCTGGAGAATGTTAGCCAAAGTCACTTGGCACGATAGTTTTGTTTCTGTTTTTCTTAACGTGTCTTATGGACATTATGTGTTCCAAAGAATACTATCATTTGATTTAATAAAATCTTTTTTAATGTTTTTTTCAGAAGGTGGGGAGTTACAGAGACACAGAGGGAGAAAGATCTTTTATAGATTAGTTCACTCCCCGACTGGCCACAACAGCCAGAACTGTGCCGATCTGAAGCCTGGCACCTGGAGTTCTACTAAATGTCTTAGGCATACGTGTTATTTCTACTGATTTTAATCTACTTCATGCCTACTATATGAGTGTATCTATTATTCCCCAACTAACATATAGCATTTTTACAACAGCAGGCTTTTATTTATTTGTTCAGAATTACATTGTTATCAGTTTGGGCAGGGCTCAAGTTAGATGGTTCTGTTGACTTGTCTGGGAGCACCAAGATGGGTGTGAACAAAAATGACTTAGTGTGGCTGGATGATCTGGCTAGCTTGTGTGTGTGTGTGTGTGTAAGTTGGTGTTGGTCGTTGGCTGCTGGTTGGGCTTACTTATCTTCAAGAGGCTAGCATAGGCTTTGCCACTTGGTTACAGGATTCTAAGAGGCTGGATTTCAAGACACAAGAGCTTTTCACACTTTTATGTTTGCTGGTAGTCCATTAAGCAAAGCAAGCCACATGCACAGGCCCTCAGTCAGTGTGGGAGTACAGGATGCAAGGCAGATTCAAGGAGGTAGAATGTATCCTAGGGACTTTACTATAGCAGGAACTGTGTACCCTGCTCAGGTAGCCTGTAGGATTTTCCCCCAGGTCTTTTCCCTGCTCTTGTTTCTGTTGGTTCTATAGCATCTTAGTAGAGCATTCCTTAACAGCAATTATTCTCACAGTTCCCTGGTCACTGGCTGTCAGCCAGGAACACCTTGGTTCTCTGGACATGTAGCCTTGTCTGGAGAAATATTGGTTGTCTCATTTGAAGAGATGCGATTGGCATCAGATAGACAGCAGAGAGACTGCTGAATATCTTTTGACACCAAGTTCAACACCTCCTCTCCCTCCCATGACCAAAAAAAAAATCCTCTGCTTGGAGAGGTCAGTAGTGGTGAGGTTGAGAAAGCCTGCCACCCTGACTCAAAACCTCCCAGTTATGGCTCGAGAAAAACAAGCACTAAACAGTTTCACCTGGGTACCCAACTCCTCTGCAAGCTGATCTTGCAGTTCAGAGCCAAACAATTCTTCCTTGGAATGGCACTTCATCGCGGGATTAACCTAAAAGTTCCTTATCATCACACAATGTAAATTAGCAAATAAAAATTATTCTCTCTTCTCTACGCAGCCAATCCATGATCTTTCCACTGTAGAAAAATTGCACCTTGCTTTTCCTACCAAATGTTCCACAGTTTCAATGAGAACTGTCACAGATGCAGTATACATAACAAGCATGTATTATGTCAGCTCAGGAGTACGTTTGAGTATCCCCAGCAATATTCTAAGGAGGAAGCCAAGGTTCTATCATCTGTCTCTATTTTTTTTTCCAGAAAAAAAAAAAAGAAAGAAATAGGAGGTACTTTTTTCCCATTTTAGCTGGGAAACAGAAACAGTTAGCCAGGAATTGGCTAAAACAGAGCAGTCTTTGAGGAACAGTGAATTGGTAGGTAAGACAATATGGTCCACGGTTATCATCATGACTTTTAGATAGATCAGCTTGCTTCTGGCTGCTCAAAGACCATGCACATCAGAGATAATCTTGTTTCTCAAAGGAGTGAAAAGAGATCTTTGGAAAGAAAGAGTTTTTGTGATCGAATACATTTGTAAAACACAAATAAATTTAGAAAGGACTCCTACTAAATACCTCCTGGATGAGATAAGGAACGCAGCTTACTATTTCCTAAATGTATTTATGTTAGCTTTTAGTTTGAGATTGCATTACATTTAAATTGCTTTGAGCTTTCTGTAGACTAAGTGCTCTTAGGAATGTACTTTATGAAACTTTTTTGTTAGGTATCAGTGACTGTGGTGGTGCTGAGTCCTGAGAAATGCCCCACTATTGCTACATAATAAATTGGCCCAACGTCCTGTAATGGAAATGAACACTACTTCTTTACTGCTCATTCAGTCGGGAGTAGGAGAAGCTTTAAATGAATGCTTCTTGTAATCCATGAAGGGCTTTCCCCAAAAACCAGAGCCTTTCACAGAGCATGACTTAACACTGCAGTTACACTAAAAAAAAAAAAAAAAGCTACTATCTCACATTAACTGTAAAGTTCTAGGTTTACTTAACTAAGTACATTTTTCCAAGTCTTTGATGATGGAAATTTTGTGTTTCTGAGCAAATTAGCAGGCAATGTCTCAGAGAAGTCATACTCCAAATAATCCTTAAGATTATGTTGCTTTGGTCAGAAGTGATTTTGCAGCCATGAATATGGGGAATCTTCAGTTTAACAAAACAGGATGGAAACAAAGGTGTGTGGAATACATACAGCTGTATCTAGACTCTGCACAATCAACAAACCCAAAGTGTCTCCTGTAGCCTTGATCAGTGTTTTCCGTTTCCGTAGGAAGCCTTCCCCCAGCTGTAGGCAGCAGCCTAGGATGCTTTGTACCTTGGCAAGTGCTTGCTGCACTGCTGGGGGAAAAGCAGCCTGTAGGTGGTGGGTATCCTGGACCTGGTTAATGACAAATTTGTGTTAAATGTACCAGTATTCCAGCATAGTTGCTTAGTCCCTTTTTATTCTCTTACTTTACTTCCCTTCTCTTCTTTTCCTTTTCAATTTTTTTTTTTTGTCTTGTTTTGAAGATAAGCATATAAGGTGTGTAACTCCAGGCCAGGTCATGCCACCCTATCCTCCAGTGGATGGGGGTCGCAGATGACCCAGAAATAGGGTCTGAGGATATGGGGATATATTGGGACAGGAATGGCTTAGGGCATGTATGACAGGGAATGGGTGATTTCTCGGCTTTTACATGGACTAAATTGATACACTCATAGGTGGGCAGAGGAGCTGGGATCGAGTGGTTTGGAGGGAGGAGGTCAGAGGGCATGTCTGGGTCAGGCCAGGGCACCCATCCAGGTGGGAGACCTGGACTGGACTAAATAGCATCATTCATTGGCCATTGGCGCTTGTAAAATCTGGGACCTGGGGGCATGAATGGCTGGCTTGGGTTTCAGTGCCTGCCCGTGAGTGTCTGAGCAGGGGAAGGCCACATCATCCGCCAGAACATGAGAGAACTGGATGTGGGGGCAGATCCTGTAGGGTCAAACGCTAGAGAAAAGTGGGTAAGACTACTGTTATCACATTCTCTCTCTTTTTTTTTTGCTTTTTGCATCTGAGGGACGGGAGAGATAAGGGGAAAAGTCACCTCCAGTCTCCCAGCCATCCCAGGGTCCCCAATGTGTGGCATGCTCCCAGGGTTTTGCACAAGTGGTTTTGATAGTTCAACAGTTCTGAATTGCTGCTGATCTCACCACTCTAAGCACGATGAAATCTCTGCAGAATCCACTGGCTAACATAGTCTCTGAAGTTCATGCTGTTAGCATCATTGTCATGTTGCTGATGAAGAAATACAGGTTACAGAAATACAGAAATACAGGACGGGTTTCAATAATTAGCTAAGGACACACAGCAGAAAAAGGGTTTGGTTGGAATCAGTCTCCAACAGCCAACTTGCAAAGCAATTCTGCCTCTCGACTTAAATGAAATAAATGATTCAGACTACTGAGAAAGCATGAAGTAAATCTTCTCTTTCATATCTTAGAGATAGTGTTTACAGCAACAGTAATCCATCTCAGTTTTTTAATAGTGGGTTAGACATGAGTCTGTTTTGTGTAATTGTTCATGTTCATTTCTAACCCCATCCTAAGCAATAGCATAAAACCCCTGTCATGGCAGGATAGGATGCTGACACATATCTGTGGTGCATTTTTTCGCAAGCACAAGGCTGGTATCTTAGCAGCTCTGTCTGGGAGGTACCAATGGCCTAACACTGACAGAAAATCAGTAAAATATCAATTTCTAACACTTGGCTTGTATTTACCTGTTTGGTCACTTTCTATAAACTAGTGAAGTATGGCTTAGGTACATTCATCGGTGCAACATTGACTGGTTTTGAATTCATTTTAAACCAGCTAAATGCTTTGCTTAACAAAGGGAAGTGAAACATAAATGGGAGATCCTCAGGAGGCATGACCACATAATCTTATAAGAGAGCGC